ATTCATTTTTGTGTACGAGCTATATATCCAAACTCCGACCATTTTAAAAGGGTAAAGTATTTATATTCTTGTGACATAATAATCTTAGTAATGGCTAACGAAATAATACTATCAAGATTAAAATATTTCAGCTTGCCGCCTATAGAGCATGAGGATAAAGTATTCCAATGCAAAACATCAAAGAGAAACAATCTAAGAACATTTTAACCCTTGTGAAACTCTAATCAAACATGTAAAAACCCTAAAAAACCAATTTGTAGATAGAATTACACTAACATTTGCTTCTTTATGACTACTAAATTTACATTTCATATTCAATTTTAGATCTATTCAATTTAAAGTTTAGAGACTCCAGCGTATGCCATGACGATAATAATTATATTTTGTCATAAACCTTGATTTAGCGGTTTTAATTGTTTAACTTTAATTCCTTTAATTTCAAATAATTTTGCCTGTATTCATATTTTATTTATGTCACATTTTATTGTTTTATATTGTTTATTTTTAATAAAAGTTTATATGTTCCCTTCTACACATATTACGCATTCATTTTTATGCACGAGCTATGTATATCCAAACTCCAACCATTTTAAGTGGGATGAAGTATCTATACTCTTGTAACACAATAACTTTAATAACAGCTAATGAAATATTTCTATTAAAACTGAAATATTTTGACTTGCTGTATGTAGTGCACGAGGATCAGAAGTATTCCAACACAAAACATCAAAAAGAAACAATCTGAAAACCTTTTAACCTCTTGTGAAACTTGAATCCAACATATAAAAAACCCTAAAAAGCCAACTTGTAGTTGTAGGTAGAACTATACCAAGATATATATATATATATATATTTATAGAAAATATCTACAATTAGGGTACGTGAGTAAATCCAATTTTTGTCTCAACATCCTATTTGTTAACAATACTAAAAAAACAAGAAATTACATTATTTTCCTGTCAAAAGACCTTTTCAAAAACCAAAAAGAAGTATTTTTTATTATTATTCTTGTGTTTTTCTTAAAAGAAAAAAAAAAAACTTGTAATATTTCTTTTGTTTATTAAAAAGAAAAACCTTACTTTCAAAAGGTTTTGTGCATGGTGCTAGATGGACTGATATTCTCATAGCTGAACTCTAGGCTATTTATTTGACTTAAACTATATTGGGATCTAGGAAGCTTATTCCTCAGTATCTAAAAAAAAAAATTCTAAAAAGAGTGAGCTCTACGGTTTAGTAAGTAACAAGATCTCTCTGGCTGGATCATGTATTATTAAACAATACTTTCAAATCACAATATTTTACCATATAATCACAATTCTAATCCACGTTCTCTTCCATTTGTATCACAATCCACAATAATAATCATAAATTATCACGAATGTTTACAATACACAATTCAATCATACATTTTCAATATTCCAAATTTTATTTTAACAATATTCACAATATTTGAAAATGCAAATCATTTACTATTTCATGCTTGACCCGATTTTAAAAAACAATTCTATTTTCATAAATCATAAAACGATCAATTTCACAACATCTAATATTATTTTTTTATTTTTTAAAAAATAGATATCCAATATCATTTATAAAACAACTAGTAAATAGTAAGACATTTATAAAACATCAATTTCTAAAATAACCAAAAGGTCTGTCAACTTACCTGATTTTCTTAACGTATACAACACTTCACAAATTCAATTACCATTATGAATTAATAACCAACCACATTTCAAATAATTAATGCATGATCCTTTTACCCTTCAACCAGACCTAAACACTTTTGGAGGCATGTTTGAAACCTTCAAAATTATTTAAAAACTCATTTTCTCAAATTTTCACAATTTTGGTATTGTTCAATAATACTAAAAAATATAGATCTTCACTTTTCAAAGGAAATATTTTGTTAATACCTTACAAATATTAATCCTGACAAAATTTATATTTTTCTGTAATTTTCTCAAAAATAGATCCTTGATAGATAAATTTTATTTTCTTGAAAATCAATATTTTCTTTATAACATAACAATAAATAATTGGTGAATAAAAAAAATTATAATTTACCGAAAACTCAATAATAATATTTAGAAAACATTCCCAAAAAATGGTGACCATTAGATCTATAAGTAATGTGAGAGTAAAACTTGTAAAATGTCACTAATCATCTCACTATTCATCGCACTATATATTAATATTTTTTATAATTTCTAAATTTTGATAAATCTAATAATTTAAAACATAATAAAAAATATAAAATAAATACGATATGATAAAAAAAATATTAAAAATTTTAATAATAATAATAATAATATATAAACAAGAGGAATGCTAGGGACACTCATTTCTACACACCCGCTACAACACTCGAGCAATTTAAAAGTCCACGTCATCCTACAAATTAAAACTCAAACCTGTCACCCGAGCTTCCGGTAAATTTATTTGCCGCAAGTAAAAGTACTTTGTATTTTTAAGAATTTTTGGCAAAAATAACCAATACTCTTAAGAATTTATCATAAAGACTAAACTACCCTTCATATACACTAGTTCTTTTTCTTTTTTCTTGGCCTAGTCATATATACAGTTCACTAAAGTAGACAGGTAGTGAACTGGTTAATTTTCTAGAGCATACCATTTTTTTTTTTTTGCACTATTACTTTAAACATAGTCTATTTCATTTTAATTTTATTTTAATTAGTTTACAATCTAAAATTTTTAGAAATCTAAATCTAGTGCATTTATATATAATTTTTTGCTGAATAATTTTTGTTTAGCTAGATAAAATATTTTTGGATAAGAAATCAACTAAAGTAATATGAATATAAAATAAGAAAGTTGAAATAATAATTAAAATTATAAAGTATTTTGACATTGTCAAAGCTAGTTTACCTTTTAACTTAATCAATATTGAAAAATTAGCTAATACATTGATAATAGAGTATTTTAGATTTCATAAGTGAAATGAGAAGGATGATACATATTCATTCAAATATATTAAAAAATAAAAGCACTAATTAAAAAAATATGTGTTAGTTTTTTAATCCCATTTGTAAAGTTAAAAAACTTTATTAACAGTTTATCGAATAATAACTCATAAAATATTATGCTATATCTCATTATTAGTGTTTGAATTTAATTTTTTTAATCAAACTTTTTAAGTTTGGCCTTTGTTTATAAAGTAGTATTAATTAAAATTTTAAAATATTATACATTTTAAATTTTTTATTTTTAAAATATATATTTATGACATATCTAAAACTAAAAATTTTTTATTAAATAAGATTAAACTAGGATAATATTTATGAGACAGAAAAAATATATCATGAATAATTTTGAAAATATATTTTTAGCTTAAAATTTTTTGTTAATATTGTAAATTATACACAAATAATACATTATATAAAGAAGTTGATATATAAACAGATATCTCTTTAAAAATATATATAAAAAACTCTAATCAGGTTTTATATTGAAATCATATATATAAATATGAAAAAAAAAGAGATAAATTATTATTTAAAATTTACACCAAAATAAAATATAAATATGAAAAAATAAAAGTGAATTGTTTAAATAATATATTTTTTACAAAAAAGTTTTAGTGATGGGAGGCTATCTCATTTTAGTGTTAGAACATGCTTCAAGTCTCAATAATGACTTGCGTTAAATTTATAAATCATTCACCAAGAGATTTTTAATTGAAAATTAAACCTCAATCTTACAAGTGAACAAGGTGGACCCATGGCTTAAGGTAGAGTTTCCATAAACCCTACAAAATTTTGAAAATAACAAATTTTGAAGGAAAATTTTCTCGTGTATACTTTTTTATCAATAAAATTAATAAATTTGTTAATAGTTCTTTAGTAAACATTGTAAATTCAGAGTGATTTGCAAATTAAAATTTTTATTCTTGGTTGAATGATTATGTAGTTAGATATATGAAAAAAAAATATTTGATAATATTAACAATGATGCAATTATATTTCTTTTAAGATATGAGATCCCTTCGTTCATATTTATAATAATATAACAATATATTATTTAAATTTTTTATTCATAATTTGTATATATTATAAGTTGATATCTCTAAAAAAAATTCTTAAATCTATTACTACTAGCGAAGTATTTAATCCTTATAACGCAATCAATTTTTCTTGGTTATTTAAATATTATATATTATCTTTATTCAAGTAAATAAAAAATGAATTTAAAATGAATTTTGTATAAAATGAAAAGGAAATATGCCAATAAAAATTACATACGATAAAAGGAAAAAAATTATATATATATACATATATATATGTTGTCTCTAAATCCAAGAAGAATAAATTTCTCTTTATTTATCCTACAAAGCTACCGTCTTACATAATTTTGTCTTTATACTATCGTATATTTTCATTGACAGAAGGATAAATATCATTTAGCAAGTTGTTATACAAAGTTTCCGTTTGTAACTTTAAAAAGTAACATAACGTGGCTTTTTGAGAGAACGGGTGCTAAAAGCGGCTGACAAAGGTGAGTGCCCTTACTTGCCTTATAAACAAAATTAAAAAAATATATATTTTATATTTTCGATGGCTAAACTAATTAAATAGTCAATCAAGTCTACTCTTTTGTATCAAAACCAAAAATTCCACAATCTTATCAATTCTGGCCATCTCCAATGAATCCTTAGAGAGATATTAATTGTAGACGAACACAGAAACAGCCAGCATTTGATTACTTTAAAAATAAAAAATAAAAAAGAAATCATTAATCTCAGATGAAAGGGAATATTAAAACAAAAATTATTAATCTCAGAATTGGTGTGTTTAACCATCGTCAAAAGATTATTCTAATCAATCATTACATTTGAAAAGGAGATGGTCTTAGACATGCATTTGAGACCTTCTATGAGGGGTGAGCAGAAAGTAACGAGAGGAAGGAAAAATGAAAAAAAAGAGTTAGAAATTAAAACAAGGATGAGCTGAATGACACAGGCAGATAACTTACAAAGAAAAACACTCCGAAGGCAGAAAGTTTAACAAGTTCTGTTGGAAACTAATTAGGGGTATGCATCCAATGGCAGAGTTACACTATCGTTTATAATTGATCTAGACGTTGAACAAGAAGTAATAGCCCAAGGTTCGATCATCTCATCTATATCAGAATCTTCATCCACACTCTGTTCAATAGCATTAGCTTCTTCTGATGCTCTAATCCTCTCCAGCTCCATTGCAACTTGTTTCATTGTGGGTCTTTTCTTTCCATTAAGATTCAAGCTTCTTTTCGCTAGCTTTGCAACTGCTATAATCTCTTCTTCTGGACCATTATTCCTTGCCATTGGATCAAGAATGTCAAATAGGGAATTCTCCTTCATTGTAAGCAGAAAAAAGGCTACCAAGCTTCTCACTTCCTCTGATTGTGTTGAAGAGATGGGTTTTTGTCCTGTTAGCAGTTCAACAAGAACAACTCCAAAACTATATACATCACTCTTCTCTGTAAATTGACTTGACCGAAAAAACTCCGGATCCAAGTATCCGAAAGTTCCTTGTACTTGAGTGGTTATATGAGTTTGCTCAAGTGCAACTGATCTTGAAATTCCGAAATCTGACACTTTTGCTCTGTATTTATCATCCAAAAGTATGTTGCCAGATTTGATGTCTCGGTGATAAATAGGGACAGAAGCAGCTGAATGCAAATAGGATAAAGCATTGGCAATTTCAATTGCAATTCGTAAACGCATTTCCCATGTCAATGGGAATTCTTCATTTTGATCATGTATGAGTTGAGACAGTGTTCCATTGGGGATGAACTCATAAACTAGTAAAGGGACCTTTGTCTCCAGGCAACATCCTAAAAGCTTAACCACGTTTCTATGGATAATCTGTGATAAAATTATCACCTCATTGATGAACTGTTCAAGCTTCTTTTCGTCAAATGTCTTCTCTTCCACCATTTTAGACTTCTTGATTGCCACGATGCTTCCATCCGTTAACATTCCTTTATAAACTGTTCCTTGCCCTCCTTGACCAATGATTCGATTCTCGTGATAGTAATCTGTCGCCTTTTCCAACTCCTTTGTAGTAAACAACCTTATTTTTTCAACATTCCCTTCATTGCTGGACAGTTGCTGTTGCAGTAGCAAGCCTCCGTTCCTTTTAAAGTATCTTTGCTTAAGCTTGATGTTTTTTCTTCTTTCTAGTACTTTTTGCATTCGCCATGTACCAAGTAGCACAAATACTGTCCCAATACTAGTGCTGCAACCTGTATAGGAAACATAATTTATTAATACAAAAGGTAAATTTGCAAAATAATATATATATATAGATATATATTAAGAAAAACCATTCATACATGACAACATGATTCATATTTTCTATCTTTAAGAAAGTGAATTTATCATCAATTGAGCTTTAACCTAAGTTTAAAGCTCAAGTGGTAAGAGTGGGATGCAATTTTAGTATAGATCTTGTGTTGAATGAAACCTATTATACGCTTCCTCTTATTAAATTAAAAAAAATATAAAATATAAAAGAGAGAGAATTTAACGCGTACTTATACTGATGATGGACGAATTTGAAGACTCTTTGGGCTTCTTCGTAGGAGACTCTTTAGGAGACTCTTTAGGCTTCTTCGTCGGAAACTCTGTTGGTATGCACCCATCGTCTGAACTTGCGTATTCATATCCATCAGGGCATCCCAATGAACAATAGTTGCCAGGAGCATTCAAACAAAGCATACAACAGTACCTATATTTAAGATCCCTGCAATTTTCTTTATCTGCCATTTATGAAATGAATAAATATAGTTATATTCACGTAAAATATGCTAATTAAGAAATACCAAAACAAATAAAATGTTTAATTTTCCTTTCTTTTGTGCAAATTTTCGCTATCCGGATCGTAACAAAATATTCTTATATTATAGTGAGACTCGTGTTATGTACGATACCTTCGCATCCATCAGAATAATAATCGTAATTGTCAATGTCAGAATTGATATCCACGCTGCAAACACATAGATGGCTGGCGCTCAAGTTTGTCCAACAATATTGACCACCGGAGCTACAAAAGGTATTTGAACCATCTTTCAACTCACACAGCCCACGTTTCAGTGTGCCCCATTGCAGTGCTGTAGGAACGTGTCCTGCTTTTGGTGTGCCCCGTTGCAGTGTCATGGGAACGTGCGTCCAACCGCTTACGCCATTCTGGTCTGGAAGTATTGTCCTACTTGAATCGGAATCGAACAAACTTACGTCAACCATGAAAGCAGATCCGCATGATCTCCTGCTGCCATTACTAGGATAAATCTCTGTCATGTTCGCAGTAAAGGAACTGAGACCCGGAGGAATTTTCATAAGGCAGCTAACATTGGAAGTCATAATGTTGCTACAACGGGGTTGCAGGCAGCTACCAAAAGGATAATCAGTTCGACTACGAAAAATAGTTACCAAATAACCGCAACCTACAGACACGAATTTGTTGAAGATTTCCGAGAAGAAAAAGGGGCTGCCTGTTAGGTTGACACTAACCCCATTATTATCTTCACTCTTATTGGGGCAATTGAAGTAAGTTATTGAATTGTTGACGATAACTGTGCCTTGAGAAAATGAAACATTGAGTAGTTGCATATTGATGCTACTTATGAAAGGCTTTGGCCCATCACCGGTTTCGTTGCAACTTACTCTAAACCACTCATTCATGTAACACCCGACTTTAATTCCAAATGGGAATGGAATATCAACCTTCCCACATCTTTCAACACAGGCAGACTTGTGAGGTATTGCGACCGCTGGTTCTGCTTGGCATTGCGAGGCTGCTTAGCATGAACAAGTAAAGCGCCGATTAATAATAACAACAATAATAAATTTTGTTGTTAAAATTGACATACAGATTTAATTTTGTTCAGACAAATAAAATTGAATTCAAATTGCATCATTTCAAGTATCTCAATTTATTTAGTTTCCTTTGACTTTTCGGGCTAAATTGTATGAACCAAAGTTTAATTTTTCCAATCCAAAATCACTCGGGCCAGAATTCAATTTCAGTCCATTACCTGTTGAATGGATCATTTGTGCCAACTGAGTTCATTTGTGTCAATTGAGCTCAAAGCCCAAATTTCCATTTAATAATAAGGCCCAATTCATGCAATTAGATTAACATTTTAATTAGGTAAATAATTTAATTAACTAAAAAAAAATCAATCACATTGGTAGACAACGGGTGCCGTGCAACCCACGTGCCAGTCAACCTCCACTCTTGTCTACAACCTCCCATTCCCAGGTGCACCCCGTGGCTATCATATTTAGTTGCGTCAGCCATTACCATCCATTGAAGAAATCTAGCCTAAAACTAAAACAAGAATGACAGCAACTGTAAAACACTAAGAAATTAGATACAATTTTTTCTTTTTTTAAAAATCTTACTCTGGACAACCACCCTTACCGCAGGATATTCGGTCATTGGAAAGGCTGCCGCGGCTCCTTGGAACCTCACAAACCGAAAAAATATGGGATTTGATGTCCCTCTATAAATTGAGCCTTTATGAATAATAATAAAAAAAAAACCTCTGCGGGAAAAAAAAAACTTTTCTAACCTCCTCAAAAAGATCCTGACACCCAATACCAAAAAAGAAAAACATTCCATTAAGAGGGGAACCACTACGCCAAAAAATACAAAAAAAAAACTTTGGTTGAAACTTTAAAGGTCAATATGAATTTTGAAGGGTCATTTTTTGAGAAACGAGGCTAAGGACAATATAGAGGAGGTTAAGAGGAGTCTTTTGGGCTTTTTGAAATTTTTTGGTTACCGGTGATGACGATCAACGGACGACAGCAACAACTGATCGGATTTTGGGTAACTATGGTGAATGGGCAGAAAGGGTTGAAGGTATTTTTTTAGAAAAGGGTGGAAATGAGTTTTTTAAAAAATTTGTTCTTTTATACCTAAAAAAGGGAGAAAACGGTGAATTATAGGGAAGTAGGATCTGCGCATCAACTTAACCTGATGACCTATGCATTCGACCTATAACCTATGCTTGTCTCAGCCAAACCGATCTTATTAAACCGCTGTTGAATTATTCAGTCTGCGTCTCTCAATGTAGCGAACTGGACTAAACCGCAGTGAACTGTCCCAAATCGCCAGTGAACCAGCTAAATTGAATTGAATCATCGACCAAGTCGTTGACCAACCGGTTTATGTTTTTTTAAAAATTATTTTCTAATTTTTATCAATTTAGTTACTTTTTTATTTATGTATATTTAAAATTTTAGATCTCTAAAATAAATATTTAATATTTTTATAGTAAAATAATGCTAATAAAATGAAATTTAGATTTACAAAAAATGACAAAATTTAATGTATTTATTCTTTAAAAAAATGTTGCTAATAATTAAAAAAAAAAAGAAAAAAGAAATGTTATCCGATGATGAGATCTAAGGAAATCCATGTATAGTTATTCTTATAAAATCTTTAGGTGAAAAATTTTTTAAAATATTAATAATGCATTAGAGTGTTTATAAAAGTTTTTAATAAAAAAATTCCTTCTCTTTGTTTTGCTAATAAAAAATTATGTTAATTAAATATAAAATTAATTTTGTTTATGATAAAAATTATTAATGTTTTTTATTTACTGATATCTAATATTTATTTTTTAATATTTTATACATTAATTATTAATTTATTATTAATGATTCATATTGATGTTTCATACAATTGTATGTGTCTATATTATTCTGTAGTAATAAATTAAAAATAGACAAATAAATAAATAATTTCTACAAATAAAGAGTAAGAGCAAGTAAAAAAAGAGTACTGTTAATATTAATTACTCAATTGACCTAATAGTCTTATGGTCTAATTTTAATTTTTAAAAAAGTTTTCTAAAATATCAAAATTAATTGACATAATATTAATTTAATTTTAATAATTAACCATTTGAATAGCAAATAGTACAATGGAAAATGAAGATAACATATTTATGATGTCACAGCTTAAGAAAAATTATAAAAAAATGAAGATGATTATTTAACTATTTTCTTGCTTTTATTGTTAGAGTAAAAAAAACGAACAAAGGGGTTTTTATTTATGATGTATAAATATAGAAATTGATTTCAATTATAATAATATAATTGATTATTTTAATTTTTTATACATAATCAAGAAAGTTAATAGAAAAAAATTGAAAAGATAATTTAAAGTTATTAAATTTTAATAAATTAATAATTTATGTTATATTTATTATTTTTAATTGCATTAATATTTTAAAATGTAAAATTATGCTCAATGTAATTTTGGATCATTTCGAGTAAGCATTTCAAGTCCTTCAAGTTCATCTTCTGGGTTCGGGTTAGGGTACAGATCATTTTAAGTTTTGATTAATTTGAATTTGATCAATTTGAATTTGAGTTCATTTGAATTCAAATTAATTTGGAATTGCTTTGAATGGATTTGGATTATTTACTTTTTTTTTTAATCAAGTTAGATTTAGATTCAAACTGATTAAACAAATATTTCAAGTTTGGATTAATTTTGCCAACTATAGCTACAGTCTTCTAACTATTCCAATACACTATTAAAGTTTAATTTAATATTGTTGTTGAAAGTAATTTTTGTATTTGGAAATTGATTGACTCAATCTTAATGCAATACAACAAAAAAAAGTGTATTTTTCTGGTTTTTAAACTCAAACAAAAAAAATTACTCAAGAAATATTTTTTTCTATGAAAAAGTATGTTTGAAATAAAAAAAATATATTATCCCTATATTTTTACTATTATATTATTTATACATAATTTTTTAAATATTTCAATTACTCTTAATATTTTTCATAACAATATTAAATACTTAAAATTTATAATCTCACAAAATTTTTAATATATTTTTCCAACCCAAACTTTTTTAACCTCAATCATAATGCTCATACCACTTATTTGTATTCCCAATCCCAGATTTTTTTTTTCTTTTTTAAAAGTTTCCATACCGCAAAGATTTATTAACTTAAAGCATATATAATATTAAAAATAATTATGCAATATATTTGAGCTAGATGGGATAGGTCTAGGCTGCAAAATGGCCCTTACTGAAAGCCCAACCCGGATTTTAAGCAAACTTAAAAAATTTTTTATAAAATTCACTTACGAATTTTAAAATTTTATGCAAATTCTTTCAAAATATTAAATCTTTTGAATTTGTTGCGAATAATTTTGACCCATGAATAAGTCTAATTCAAACCTAAAGTCAATGAACATTTCGAGGAATTACTTCCATCCATAGACGAGTTTAGCCTCAAGCTCACACTGATACTAAAAGATCCCATTGTTTAAAAAAAACTTTTATATAAATTATAAAAAAAAAAAAAGAGAAATCAAAGTAAAGTGATCATACTGACCGTTCAAATCACATTGACGGGATTCCAATCCAGCGTTGCAGGAACATGCGTCGTATCAATGATTATATCGTAGGGAAATTCTTTATCTGGATCCCATGAGTAAGACATGGAAGGGTAAAAAATGAAAGCAGATGTGCATCCCTTGCTGTAGTCTGGCTTCCCAGAATCAATGATCTCTGTCATGGTTGCAGTATAGGATTTCAGATTTTCAGGAATTATGGCAGAGCAGCCTCCTAATTCAGAAGTCTGGTTGCCACATCTTTGTTGCAGGCAGCCTGCGATGGGATCAGTTTGAATATTACGAGAAACAGAGGCCAAATTGCCGCAACCTACTGACCCGAATTTGTTGGATTCACTTGAGAAGAAAAATGGACTGTCTGTTAGGTTGACACTAGCAGCAGCAGTGGTACCATTATTCTCTTTTTTGCCGCAATTGAGATAAGTTACCGGATTGTTGACGGTGACAGCATCAAACCCAAGCGAACCGAGTAGCTCCAGATTGATGGACT